AAAATGGTAAAATAAATGGTGATCTTCATTTTAACAGGATATTTTAACTCCCTACATCAAAACACTAAATATACTTGAACACTTTTTCAGTGTGATATTATAGGTGGTTTCTTCATTACCTCTTTGTCCTGCAGGTCTTTACCTGAGACAGCAAAGAGTCGCTCCCACGAGTGTCTCTTGTTAGGTTGTGTCAGGAACAACCAAAGTGTCGCTGTTGCTCAGGTTCTGGGCGTTGGTGTCCATGTGACTTTGAAGATAAATGGAGCAGGTGAAATTGGACCAAAGGGGTCAATTATCTGCTTGGCAGTATGACCTTTTATTTTTGAATACACAGATTCTCATGTTTTTAACCCAAACCTATGTAAAGGGTACAATGTGTCATGTCCTAATAGTATATTCATCTCTTTTTAAAATAAAGTGAAACAGAGAATGTTTTCCGATGGACCCGATGTAGAAATGTGGAGACACGGATAATGCAGCAAAGATAGAGTGAGGATGTGGAGGGTGAGATGCTTGCTGTACGGTTAAGAGTCTTCTAGAGAGGATACAGATTGGCTTCAGAACATAAGAAAATGATGCCAAGTGTGTGTAACATTAATGTGGTTAAGTGCTATTGTCAGCACATCACCTGGTGTACTTCATCGAATTCCCTGCAGCCTGCAGTGTAGATTTCCTTTTCCCAGTGTACAGAGAGGAAGCTGGGAGCATGGAGAGGTTACGGGACCTGTCTCAGGGCACTCAGCTTATACATGACAGAGATATGATTGATTCCAGATGAAGACTCAAGGTCCATGTACACCTAACTTTGCTTTACTGAAACATGGATTACCCTTCTGTGGTCATAAAAAAAGACCATAGTATGTCTGCATGTTCATTGGCTACTAAGACCTTCCAGCCCATGGTTTACAAATGAGGTTTACTTAATTGCGCACTGAAGCTCTCTGTTGAGGACAGAGATAGAAAATAAGGGAATCACAGAAACTTAGCGAGAGTCAGACACAAGAA